TTATTTTATTCATTTATAATGCAAACTCGATTAAGAAAAAAGAATTCACGGTAAGAAAAAAATAATTCACCGTAACGTTCCAATTCGGTTTTTTCGCCAAACCGAATTCAGCTTAAGTTACCACCAATTCTTATCGCTTACTCCCAATTCTTTTTTTTTACTGGGCAGATAGCACAACTTTTTGCAGCAAATTTGCAATGCCAAATTATATGTTTACAATGTAAATTTGCTGCAAAACTGTGGCAAATAGCTATATGTCCTCGCTTTGCGAAGTTCGCATTGCAAGTTTGCAGAAAAATTACAGGAAAATTTTATGACAAATTTTAAGAAAACTTGCGGACATTTTTCGACAAAAATTAAAAAATGTCATTGATGTAAATATGATGATATTTTGTTACTGCAAACCTTTCCTAAAGGAAAGGCGACTAAAATCTATTGCGCAGCCCTATAAGTGCCATAGAAAACTACTGCGCATGACATGAACTTGAGCAAATTATCAGCAAATTTTCTTCAAGTTTGTCATAAAATTTTCCTGCAATTTTTCTGAGAAATTCTTCTGCAAACTTGCAATGCAAACTTGCAATGCAAACTTCGCAAAGCATGGACATATAGCTATTTGCCACAGTTTTGTAGCAAATTTATATTGAAAACAAACAAATTTGGCATTGTAAACTTGCTGAGGAATTGCTGCAAATTGTTGTGCTATCTGGGCAATTTGTATAAAACTTTCGGAGTATGTAGATTTTGTTATTAACTGTTAAGATTTTAAATTTCATTAAATTCTATAGAAAGTGCGATCGCGCGTGTACTACCTTAATGTAATTTTATTGAGCAATCAAAATATTATGTAAATAAATTTCAAAAATATATTTGTAAATAAATATTAAGGGAAATATAAGAATTAAAGTAAAATAGATTTTTTATCATTGAATAATGTCTAAGATGTTGTTTTCTCTTGTTTTTTAGCTTTTTCTGTGGCACTTTGGCGAATCTTCTTCGAATCTTATTTGCAGCTATTGTAAGTAATATAATTAAATTTATATCATAAATAAATAATAATTTTTATGTACAATTTTTAATAAAAATATATAATCAAATATTAAATTAATATATATTATAAGTTCACTTTTCAAAAATGTACTTTTTCTAAAAACTTATTTTTAAAAATATAGAATACTAGCTTTCGTACCCGCCTTCGGCGGGAGCGAAATCTAGTGGTGTGCGCCCAACAGTACTTTCGTGCAAATAATTTTTTGTATAGATAGTTGATTGTTATTACAACCTTGAACTAATAATTTCACAAATTTGTTAAATTTTAAAATTGTTTAAAATTTTAAATCTAAAAAACACATACTAAAAATATACTAACCTTTTATTTTTCTTTATCAACTTCGTAATTAATGATTTCAAATATTTTGAATCTCTAACAAATTACCATGATTAATTTGATTTCGTTTAAGCTTTGTTTTGATAATTCTCGAACCAAATTTTTCAAGCAGCATCATTATTCTATTACCTTTTTTCATTTTTAGATTATTTATTTCTTAAAAAGAAACATTATTTAAGAAGTTTTATGTTCTAAGCTATATATACAAATAGACTGGTATTTAGCCAATTTTCAAATTTTAATTTCTTATACTTTTTTTACAACTTAAAATCTTTTAATATTATTTAAACTATAATATTAAAATAAAAATCTATAACCCGAAAACAATAATTATAAAAAGGTTGTTACTAAAAACATTTTTTCATTTCTTTATATTTGTCATTTTTTTTAATTCTAAAGTTAAAATTTGATTAATTGGACTCAAAAACATAGCTAAAAAAGGTTTAGTAAAATATAACAGAAATTAAATTTAAAAAATTTGATTTTTGGAATTTTTCTTCACAATTTTAAATCTATCAGTTATTTTCTCAATTTTAAGGTAAAAATGTGATTAATTAACCTCAAAAAACTTCTAAAAAAAAGTCTAGTAAAAATAAGCGAAAAAATTTTAAAATTTCGATTTTTACAAAAAGTGCCATAACTTCCGTTCAAGTTAATATTTTTTAATGGGGAATGGCTAAGATTTTAAGTTAGTCTAATACCTAAAAGACTGACAAGTTTCACTTAAATCGGTCAAGCCGTTTATGCGTGATTGGCGAACAAAATATTGTGCAGACAGACAGACAGAATTTTTTTTAATCCTATTTTTAGAATCCTTATGACTTGAAACGAAGAATTATACATGAATTTTTAAGTTCTAAGCAATGTACGGACAAAAGTCTAATTTTATTAATATAGATTTGTATATTACTTAAATAGTATTTTTATATAGTATAATAGTGTAATAATTACATTAATGTATCATCAAAATACATTTTTTAAAATGAACATATTTAAATTAAAAAATGAGATATGTATTAGAAGAAAAAATACTTTATGTTTAAAGGTGTTTAATAAACTATTGAACTATAATTTTTAATGTTATTATTTCTCCTCAATAGTCAATAAGTTACATTATATTAAAAAATATACAAATTATTTAATTCCCAGCTTGAAAATATTATACTATTATTATATTTATTAATTTTTTATTTTATATTATATTATTTATAGTGATTTATTATATTTATATTTACTTATAAAACTAAATTTAAGTGAATTCAAATATCCCGCTTCATTTGCCTCTCAAAACTGCTGAAGTCAAGTGTACAATTATTTTTATAGTTACTCAATGACTCGTATAGTGCTCTGCCTTCACTTTTGCATTGCGTTTCACCCCCGTGCTGTTTTACGTGCACCTCTTAAGGGCTTTCTCCAATAGGATCCTAAACTCTTGCGTTGCGTATGCATTGCGTCGGTTGCTATTGGCAACCAATGCTAAAATCAACGCGTCAGGCTGCAGTCCCATGGCAGCGTTTTGTCACTAGACCATGAGTGTAAAAGAGATGCAGATATATGTTTGCTATGTTTACACTCAGGGTCTAGTGACAAAACGCAACGCAAAACGCTACCATGGGACTGCAGCCTCAGTCACGCAACGCAAAAGTTTAGGTTCCTATTGGAGAAAGGCCTTAAGGAGCTTCTACAATAGCTCCGTTTGGCAACTCCAACTCCAAGTCCAAGTCCAAGTCGGTTAGAGTTGGTTGCGCACGCATGGTGTTGCCAACTGTCGCCGAGTTGAAAATGAAAAAAAAAATTGTGCGTGATCTCGTGCTCACGAAATAGTTGAGGTTATGTACCTTTGAAGCTGTAAACACGCTGTAAAGTTTAATAAATTATTTGTTGTTGTTGCTGTTGATGTTTCCGCCGTCTCATCGTTTTTTAAAGAGAAGAAAAATATAAATTAAATTAAATTTTTCTTTTATAAATAACAAAATTTTTTTCCCTGAATAATACACACATGCAATGAATTTAATATTTGTAATATATAAATATAGTAATAAAAAAATATACAATTAATAAGATGAACTGTCAATACAAATTTTTTTTTATGTTTTTTATTGACATTATAATAAAAGTTTTTCATCATTTTGATTTCACAATATATTAAAAAGGTATTTTCATGAACATAACCTTACAATATTTTTACATTTTATCACATGAGAAGAGCGTAATCATAAAATGGAATAATTAAATTTAAAAATATTTAAAAAATAATGGAAAACGTGCGTTGACATATTTATTATATTTTTAATTAAATACGATTTTTAAAAATAATTTAGCTTAAGATTACATTATTCTCATTAACAGATTATTTTACTATATTATTCTAATGTAATTTTCAGAATTAAATTCAGATTAGAGTATTTAGATTATAGTGTTTAAAATGTTTGTAGTCTTAAATGTTTTTTTTTCTTCTAATAAGAAATCTGTATGTCAGGGAAAAAGTTATTATTTACATGGAAAAATGGAGAATTCAGGAAATTGGATTACAAAAATATTATGGCAACGCATGAAGAAATTAACTTTTTAAAGAATTATCACATATAGTAATTATATTCAATGAATTTTAGACGAAAAAATTCATTCATAAAATATTAAACTTTGAAAATTATCATTAAAATAAGCAAAAAATATTGTAAGGTTATGTTCATGAAAATACCTTTTTAATATATTGTGAAATCAAAATGATGAAAAACTTTTATTATAATGTCAATAAAAAACATAAAAAAAATTTGTATTGACAGTTCATCTCATTTATTGTATATTTATATATTACAAATATTAAATTCATTGCATGCGTGTGTATTATTCGGGGAAAAAAATTTTGTTATTTATAAAAGAAAAATTTAATTTAATTTATATTTTTCTTCTCTTTAAAAAACGATGAGACGGCGGAAACATCAACAGCAACAACAACAAATAATTTATTAAACTTTACAGCGTGTTTACAGCTTCAAAGGTACATAACCTCAACTATTTCGTGAGCACGAGATCACCATCAGTGATGGGTACGTATAATACATGACGTCCCTACCGGAAGGGTGGTACTGGATTGGTACTGGGAAATTGGAACTGAGATCTCAGTACCAACTCAGTACTAATTTGGTGCATTTTGGTACTGAAATGGAACTGGGAAATTTACCTGCGAAAAGGGTCGAGTTACCGTTAATACCCTCATAAAAGTGAAAAGCGACTAGCTTTTTCAATATGTTTAAACTAAAACTTTATATTTATTTCAATATTATATTTGTTTTTCATGGATTTATATTATTTTCATACATTATTATGCATATGATATTTCCTTTGTCAGCTAAATTCAAAAATGATGTCCATTTTTTTATCAAACTTAAGGTATACGAGATAAATTATAACTTTTTTCATGAAGTAGTATAAGGAGACCTCACGGCAATGGTAGTAGAGGCAAAAGTCAGCCTACATTTGGGGGAATAGAGTTGTGCTAGTTCTGACAACGTTCAGAGGCAGCGCTTTTGCGGAGAAAATGTAAATTACAGAAACAGTTTTGGCGGTATTATGCTTATTGTGTACTACAGGTGGTTTGAGATTCAAGTGAAAAGTGTTGTGACAAAAAGAAATAAAAGAAAACAGTGCAAATGCCTACAACTTGCATAATAAAAAATTGTGGTTCGGGCAATGGTGAATATAGAAAATCCCAAGTGCATAAAAGTTTTTTTTCACCATGTACGGTATGTTGTCATAATTTTTGACTCAAAATATTTTCATTGGAGTATAAATTAATTCATTGTTTGATATATAAGAATGTAAACAAATAAAGTTAATATAGATGGTATTATTTGTGTGTAGGACGAAATGTTAAATGTTTGGTTTGATGCCGTTTCATCATATACGATCAAACCGTTAACAAAAAAGAAAAAAATTTGCGAATTGCATTTCCGTGCTGAGGATATTGAGAGGGATTTTGTGACAAAATTAAAAGATGGTACACTTCATAAGTTACCACGAAGGAAGCCATTGCTGAAAAAAGATGCTGTGCCACAATTTTTTCCAAATAAATGTATAAAGTACACTTATGTACATTTATTTCAATAATATACCAATAAAATTTACTCATGTACTTACCTAAGATAACAATCTTTCAGAATTAATATATTTTATAAACCGCACTTATATACAGCTAGGATTTGAAATAATACTCAAATTATGTTTACATCCGTTTAATACAGGTTAATATGTCAGGAGTAAGCAGACGATATTTCAGTACTAAATTTCAACCGCAGAGGCGCAACCTCTGAACGTTGTCAGAAATCGCACAACTCTGTTCCCCCAAATATAGGCTGGCTTTTAAGCCGCGTGAGGTCTCCTTATACTACTTCATGACTTTTTTAAATGTAATTATTTTATGATAAAGGGTATAGGGGGTTAAGGATACAAAAAGTGCCGTTGCAGGTATTCTGTTCAAATTGACACCATATATTGCTACCCCTACGAATATAAAATTCTGCAAGTATGAACCCATAATTCGAATTTTTGGGGGAGTTATGGTGGGGGAAAGGAAAATAAAGAAATCCATTTTTCTCGAAAACTACTGAACCGATTTTAATGAGCTTTGAATATGTTATACATGTCGCTAAGACAATTCTAAAAAAAAATCTCAAAATTTTTTTTTGAAAAAAAGTCAAAAAAAATTAATTTTGAAATTTTCAAAAATTTTTTTTGGGGTGATTTTTTGAAGTGACCACTTTACTTTTTTTTAAAAAGTTACCTTATAATATCCCCTTTAACATATATTTTTTCAGATTTTTAAAAAATGTAGTTTTTGAATAATTTAACGAAAACGATCGTCGCGCTACATGACGCAGCGCGCACAGTGTGCTGATGCAGTATACGGGTGTTCCAAAAGTATGGAAACTTTCAAATATCTCGAAAAGTACGAATTTTTGTAAAAAATGTTCAAGACAAAAGTTGTTCCAAACAAAAAGATGTACATCTTTGAAACCAAAAAATTGGGCCCGGAGCCCAATGTTGGGCCCTACAATGAAAGAAGTGGTTTTCTTAAATAAGACCACTAATTTTCAGTATCAAATTCGTAATCCCCATGAAATTCTGCGTTCAGACATGTGGTAAAAGTGCCCAAAATATTGGGCCCAATCCAAGATATTAGGTCCAAAATTTATCAACAGATAAATAAATTTTAAAAAATTGCATCTTGGAGGGATTTTGAGATCACAGGATTAGAAATTGGAAGCTAATTTTTAAATTGGGAATAGAGCCCAATGTAAGATTCCGCCGCCCAATGTGAGGCCCACAGTAAAAAAAATTAGTTGTCTTGAATAAAACCCATTAATTTTCAGTATCCAATTCGTAATCCCCATGAATTTCTTGGGTTAGACTTGTAGTACAAACGCCAAAAAATATTGGGCCTAATGTCTGGGATTAGGCCCAACATTTTTCGTTAAATAAATAAATTTATAAAATCGCATCTTTTGTAGTTTTTGGGGTCACAGGATTAAAAATTCAAAGCTACTTTTCAAATTTGGCACAGAGCCCAATGTAAGATTTCGCAGCCCAATGTGAGGCAGAAAAAAAATTAGTTTTCTTCTATTTCGTAATCGTTATGAAATTCTGGGCTTAGACTTGTGGTACAAATTCCAAAAATATTGGGCCCTCACATTGGGCTGCAGAATCTTACATCGGGCTCTATGCTCAATTTCTAATCCTGTGATCTCAAAATCCCTCCAAGATGCAATTTTTTAAAATTTATTTATCTGTTGATAAATTTTGGACCTAATATCTTGGATTGGGCCCAATATTTTGGGCACTTTTACCACATGTCTGAACGCAGAATTTCATGGGGATTACGAATTTGATACTGAAAATTAGTGGTCTTATTTAAGAAAACCACTTCTTTCATTGTAGGGCCCAACATTGGGCTCCGGGCCCAATTTTTTGGTTTCAAAGATGTACATCTTTTTGTTTGGAACAACTTTTGTCTTGAACATTTTTTACAAAAATTCGTACTTTTCGAGATATTTGAAAGTTTCCATACTTTTGGAACACCCGTATACTGCATCAGCACACTGTGCGCGCTGCGTCATGTAGCGCGACGATGGTTTTCGTTAAATTATTCAAAAACTACATTTTTTAAAAATCTGAAAAAAATATATGTTAAAGGGGATATTATAAGGTAACTTTTTAAAAAAAAGTAAAGTGGTCACTTCCAAAAATCACCCCAAAAAAATTTTTTGAAAATTTCAAAATTAATTTTTTTTGACTTTTTTTCAAAAAAAAATTTTGAGATTTTTTTTTTAGAATTGTCTTAGCGACATGTATAACATATTCAAAGCTCATTAAAATCGGTTCAGTAGTTTTCGAGAAAAATGGATTTCTTTATTTTCCTTTCCCCCACCATAACTCCCCCAAAAATTCGAATTATGGGTTCATACTTGCAGAATTTTATATTCATAGGGGTAGCAATATAATATGGTGTCAATTTGAACAGAATACCTGCAACGGCACTTTTTGTATCCTTAACCCCCTATACCCTTTTAGATATTCATAATCTGGAAATATTAACGAATCTGAATATATATTTTTTATAGTTGAGTTATTAAAATTACAAATTTTTTAAGCAATAAAACTCGGGTTAAAATTTTAATCCTCCAACAAAGGACCTAGGGATCTATTGTTCAAGGAGGGATTGCAATATAATTTCCAAACTTAACAGAAATTTTCTACAAACTATTATGTTTTTTTTGCTGTTTTACGCGTATATCATGAGAGACGGTTTGTTGATCTTATATACCTTTAAAACTATTGTTAAAGTACTTTAAAAATGTCTTCTTATGGGTTATCAGGTAGTGGTACTGAAGTGGAACTCAAGCCAAGTCCAATTCAGTACCATTCCAGTACCACTCTTTCGGTAGGGGTATAATACGTAGTTTTCTACGTGTATAATACTACGTATATTACGTGCCAAGTTTTCTACACTATGTATATTACATTTGATCACGTGATTTAAGAGCGGCAATTTTAAATTCTTCATTAAAATACATCATTCATTACTTTACACTATTGAAAGAGAAAGTTGTTAATATAAACAAAATTTAGGTAATTATTAATTATTTTAACAATTATAAAACAAAATTTTTAATTATTGAAATGTTTTTATATCGGTTTTATTTCTAAGTTGGTTTCACAGATAAGAGTGAACACCGGGCAACGTGCATAATAACATAACCTATATTCTAAGTATTATATTGTCAGTCTAGTCGTTTGGTATCTCCCAAAATAAACAATTTTTAAATAAAAACTTTTTTTCTATTTTATTTTAAGACTTTAATTTAAATAGAATGATAAGAAAAATTCGTTATGGCAAAAATGAGAGGATCATATATAGATGTCAAAATGTCAGTGATTTTCTACATTTTATACGTATATTACGTCGAAAACGTATTATACGTACAAAACTTCGTGTGACGCGTCACAACCCATCACTGATCACCATCACGCACAATTTTTTTTTTTCATTTTCAACTCGGCGACAGTTGGCAACACCATGCGTGCGAAACCAACTCCAACCGACTTGGACTTGGAGTTGGAGTTGCCAAACGGAGCTATTGTAGAAGCTCCTTTATGGAGCGGTCACACCTCGGCTGCAGGAGCAGTTGCCCATGGCAACCGTGTAAGAGTAAGAGAGATAGAAGATTTTCCATCTCTCTTACTCTTATACGGTTGCCATTGGCAACTGCTCCTGCAGGCGAGGTGTGACCGCTCCATTAAGGCGCTTGTATAGCTCACCGATCTCGAGTATACTGCCCAAGTAGCACGGAATATTGGTTGAATGTCAAGTTGATATCAAGCGGGAATATTCTTGTGACATTCAGGCGATATGATAATGTCCGCTTCATGGGGACATTCCACGGTGATATTCCTGTGATATTCGCGTGATATTCATATGATATCGAGGAAATATTCCGGTGAAATTCATGTAATATTGAGGGGATATCCTAGTGATATTGAGCGAAATATTCCTGTGATATTGAGGGAATATCCCTGTGATATTGATGAGATAATTTAAAAAATTCTAATAAAAAATTTTTCTATTTTTTTTCCATTTATTTATTTTTTTATTTAAATATTCAAAACAAACAATATTTTAGAATTTTATAAATAACAGGAATATTATCTCAATGTCACAGGGATATTCCCTCAATATCACAGGAATATTCCGCTCAATATCACTAGGATATCCCCTCAATATTACGTAAATTTCACCGGAATATTCCCTCGGTATCATATGAATATCACGCGAAATGTCACAGGAATATCAGCGTGGAATGTCCCCATGAAGCGGACATTATGATATCGCCTGAATGTAACAAGAATATTCTCGCTTGATATCACCTTGACATTTAAGCAATATTCCGTGCTACTTGGGTTGCGTAGTGTATCATTGAGGTAAAGAGACCAAAGATGTTTCTGTCTCTTTTACTCCAATGGTACACGACAGAAGTATACTCAGGATAGGTGAGGTATACAAGCGCCTTTAACTACAACGTTTTAACTAATCACAATCCATGAAACTAAACTACTTTTATAAAGAAGTTGATAACCTTGTCAGGCTTACTGAGCGCTCAAGGCCTGAGCAGAATAGAAACGTAATTGCCCACACAGCACATGATATTTCCTAAATATTTCTGAAATATTCCAGTGCAAAGTCCTTGAAATATTGCTGAAAGTAGGGAAATGTCCGCCTATAAGAAATATTGTAGTGTAATTTTGCTGAAATATTTCATTAAAATATTATAGAAAAATTCCAACTCAAATGATGCGCACTTGTCGATCTCAGTTTATATATGGCCTATACAGCTGCGCAGTCATTTTTAATATTCTGGGATCTTAAGGTGTTGAACATATGTTAGAAAATAACGATTGATTTCATATTTTAAAAAAATTTCTAACTTTCTTTGAAATATTTCCTGAATATTGCAGAGTCTTCATGTATAATATTGCAGGAGTCTTAAAAAGTGTAATATTTCAGCAAAATTGCACGGCAATATTTCTTATAGGCGGACATTTTCCTGTTTTTATCAACATTTGATGAACCTTGCATTGAAATATTTTAAATCTTTCAATGACATTCATGACATGTTTAGGAAATATAATGTGCTTTGTGGGCGGAATCGTATCGTAAACGCAACCGGAAGAACAAGTTAGAAAAGGACAAACAACCCACACAGCACCCAAAATTTCCTGAAACTTGATAGAGCCTCACACGGCAAGGTTAGGAAACTTCAGTGGCAAGGTTCATACAAGTTTGTGTCGACCCTGCTAAAAATAAAATCACAGAACGTCAAAAAATTAGTCAGGATCTCTGACGTTTTGAGACTGTTTTTGTTACGATTGCAGTCACAGAACACCACAATAAGTGAGGTTTAGTCAAAGAATTGTCAATAGTAGTCAGATTTTTTATGAGGGTCGGAGACCCTTTTTTTTGGCCATACCATAAATCATTAAACCCTGTGACTATTTGTGATGTTAAATGACATTTCTTTCTATAAAATAGTTTTGAAGATTCCTGACTTACTTCTCATGAATTCTGACTACAAATATTTAAAAATTTAAAAAAATCAATATTTTATCATTAAAAAAATAAATTATCGCACAACATTTTTTTATCTTTACGTTACACATACTTAATTATTATTTTTACAATTTATTATATTTATTTACTCCTATCGAAGAAAATCTCGCAAACGCAGGGAATCGAACTCACAACCTAACGAACGCAAACCGAATACCTAACCCCTGAGCTAAACTAACCTAACTGAGATCTTAAAAATAGAATACGGTTTTATGAAAATAGAATTTCTTATTACTTTTTTTCAATTTTATCAACATATTTTGTTGATGATTATTATTATTATTTTAAAAAAATTTTATAATTTTTAAAAATTAACAAGTAAAGTTAAAATAGGTATATTCTTATATTGATCAAAAAACATTTTTAGTCCAATTATCATATATTAATGTATTCAATTAATAAAATTTGCTTTAGCAAATATTTAATTAAACAAAAAATTCGTATGTAAATATTATTTGAATTCGAACTTAAAAGAATATGTGTAATATACAAATAAAATAGTCTAGAATAATAAGATACTGTCGGATTGTCTCAAGTAAACTCTGAGCGAATTTTATCAGGTTTTTCGCTCACGTTTTAGCACATTCATTACTATTATAATTAATTATAATGATAAGAATTAATTAATATGCATATATTAATTACTATATTATTAAAATTCAATTTAACATAATTCTTCCACAAATCAACTAAATAATTACTAATTTTAATTTCTCTTTTTAGCATACTGCACTATAATTAGATGTAATATTTGGTTCAAATCAAATTTATATTTAGTGAAAACTGGATCAAATTCGCTCAGAGATTGATTGAGCGATCAATTCATATATTCTATTTTACAAGAGACCAGAATGTTTTTGCTCATCTAGTTGTAAAAAAATAAACTTTTATGTGAAATCGCCAGCGATTTCTAATTTTTTTCAAATATATATATAGAGTTAACACAATGGTAAGAATAGGTTTTCAACATATGTTGCTTTCTTATAACTAAATGTAAGGAAACTAGCTTACTGTAAAATAATAAATACAAATTTGAAGTAGGGACTTTAAAAGTATAGTCGTAGTCATTGACGCCTTCCCTTTTCTGTCCTTATCTTACAAACGTGATTCCATATATATTATATGTACGTTAGAAAAGGACAAAAAGAAAAGTATAGGCCTAAAGGATCTTTTATGGTTTTATGGCTTTTCATTGCAAAATTAAAAATTGTTGCATGTGAAAAAAATAATTTTTAAATATTATATTCGTAATGTACATGTTAATACAATTACAACGATATAAAATTTTTTTGCAAATATTTTTAAATTATTGAGAATTAATTTTAATTAATGGAGTATTTATTGTATAATCATTATGTAATTTTAGAGTTTTTACATAATGTTTTATATCATTGGAATCGTTAAAATCTATAAATTACAAATATAACATTTAAAAAAATATTTATTTAAATTTAAATAATTTTTTATTTTGCATTAAAAAGTCATAAAACCTGATGGACCCTCGAAAGGACCCTTCTATTGGAAAAAGGGAATATATAATATAATAGAGTTATATGGTGGGTTTGAGTGGCCTTGGTACCTCTCTTGGAACCCTTTTTACAAAAAAAATGAAACGTAGTGAGAAATAGTCACTTTTTAGAAAACGTCAGGCCCATAAAAACTATTTAAGTCAGAATTAGTCAGCAGCATCACAAAACATCAAAATAGTCTCAAAACGTCAGGATTACTGACGTTTTGAGACTGATTTCTGATTTTATTTTTAGCAGGGGATGTTTAAATGTCCACATGGAAAGAATATTTATACGAAACTTTGAGGAAATATTACACTATAAATATTCACGTGCAATGTTCAGTCAATGTTGTCAATATTCACCTATACTTATTATATTAGTAAATGAAATTTTTATAACTAGGCGAAAATGTAATTTCAATATTGACACAACATTGACTGAACATTGCACATGAATATTTATGTGTAATATTTCCTCAAAGTTTCGTGTCAATATTCTTTTCATGTAGACATTTAAACATCGACACAAACTGTATGAACCTTGCCACTAAAGTTTCCTAACCTCGCCATGTGAGGTTCTGTCAAGTTTCAGGGAATTTTGGGTGCTGTGTGGGAATCTATCTATCCTTCTCTAACTCATTCTTCTAGTTGCAATTGCGATTACGATTCCGGTTACGTTTCTATTCTGCTCATAAAGGCCAACGCAGAATGGAATCGTAACCGCAAACGCAACCGGAATAATGAGTTAGAGAAGGACAAACAATATGTCTATCCTTCTCTCACTCATTCTTCCGGTTACGTTTGCCATTCCGGTTACGTTTCTATTCTGCTCAGGCCTTAAAGGTTCAAGAATAGGTGCAAAAGCCAAGTACAAGTGCAAGTCCAAATGCAAATCCCAGGAATGCAAAAGAGATAGATAGACTACCTATCTCCTTCGCACTCATGAAGGCGGTTCCAGAATAGGTGCAAAAGCCAAGTGTAAGTACATATGCAAATCCCATGAGTGTAAAAGAGATAGGTAGTCTATCTATCTCTCTTGCACTCATGGGACTTGCATTTGTACTTGGCTTTTGCACCTATTCTGGAACCGCCTTGAGATTGGCACTTGGACTTGGCTTTTGCGCCTATTGTAGAACCTTCTTCAGGCCTTCATAGCGAGAATCTGGAAAACGCCTATGTATACAATGTATGTAAAGGCCTACGCACAATAGATTCGCGAACGAGATGGATGAGATAGAAAAAAATACGAATATATATCTATCCTTTTCTAAAATCGGTTCTCCAATGGGTACGTTTGTACTTGAAAGTGAACGTGTACGTGCTGACGTCACAATGTAAAGTCGGTTCTACAATGGGCACGTTTGTATGCGAACGTCAAAATGTTATGCTGAGTCTACATTGGCTGCGCAAACGTGTAGGTGAACGTGTTGACGTCAAAATGTTGGTTCAAAAGTTGGTTCTACAATAAGCGCGTCGGACGTGAACGTGTACCTAATGAGAGAGAGGCGCTTATTGTAGAACCAACTTTATACTGAGTCTACATTGGCTGCGCAAACGTGTACGTGAACGTGAATGTACTAATGTGCCCAATGTAGACTCAGCTTAAGGCTGGTTCCAGAATGGAGCCAAACGCAACGCAGACCCGTCGCAGCCCCGTTTGCTTAGTGTGACGTCACATCTAGTGTCGTCTTTAGTAACTTTCGAAATAACATAGAAATTCAAAAGTCACTATGATATTCTAGTAATAATGACTTCAGGAATTTTGTTTTAAGCAATTTACCACACTGAAATAACTAAATTATAATTCAAATGTTAATAAATAAATATATTATAAATAAATAGTATATTGTCTTTTATAAATAATAATAATAATAAGTGAAATCTCTTACTTTATCGTATAAATTACATAACAAAAACTTATTATAATTACAAAAAGACTATATTTTAGAATTGCCACGTTTTGCAATACCATTTTCAAGGTCATACATGTGTGTTTATCACAAGGTCATTTATCTCAACTAGACGATCATGCATGGAGTAGTATAAGGAGACCGAATTGCGCTTATCGTCGTGCTCAAGGCCGACTGGGATGCCTGGGTCCTTAGGGATTATAACTCCCGATCTTAAAATAAGCATATCTACCCCCTAACGAAAGAACTATCGACATGTTGAAACGGCGGCGATTTGGCAAGCCGCCTCGCTACCGATGCACCATGGGGAAGGAGGAGGGAAAAATTGCCGTTGTAAGGTCCTTATGAACCAAAACGGCGAAGAAGACGGAGTGCCCTTCCAGGAGGAGACAGTTAGCATTGATTCCCTTCGCCCGTGCAAGTAGAACTTGAGCGGAAAAAGGGAATCAAAGTACCCCGCAAGAACCTCGTGGAGGTTCCGTCTCCGAGCTAAGCTCCACCCACCGATGGTCTGGTAGGTCACACACACACTCATACAATAGGGTGCCCCATGAAATAGCGGAACGGTTAGTAACATTCATCTTGGACCCGATAACACCCCAACAGGAGTGGGCGTGAGTTAGCGAGGACAAGAATCCTGCACTTCCAACGGGGACCACGTGGAACATCCGCTCCCAGACCGCAGTCTGAAACCACAACGGTCTGACCCTGCTACAGGCGACCTATTCTGAAGCCGGGAGCGCCACGGCGAGGAAGTATGTAAACAGTGGGAAAAATTAGAAGTACGTTGAGCATAACCCAAAAATATATTGCTCCTTATTTTTAAAACTTTTACAATGGCTGATTGTCCAGCTGAGTTTAACACAATCATCAATCACCATCGGTGGGTGGAGCTTCTTCGCCGTTTTGGTTCATAAGGACCTTACAACGGCAATTTTTCCCTCCTCCTTCCCCATGGTGCATCGGTAGCGAGGCGGCTTGCCAAATCGCCGCTTGCGTTCCATTACGTATTTTCATCACACTAAGCTGTTACTAAAATTTGGTCCACTTTCAATGTACGTCGTTCGGTCTCCTTATACTACTCCATGCGATCATGCATAGTATAATAAGAAAAAAGGTTAGTTTCTATGTATGGTGCCCATAAGTCTATGTACTATAGAAAACGATTTTCATCAAATTATTCGTATTCTCGCGCCTTTTCCAACTTCGTTCTAATTTGACTATTAGTCAAATATTTTACATTGTGAACTTAATATTAAAACTCTAAAAAACTGTTTTGGAAATTTATTAGTGACTATAAACTAATAAAAGTTGGTTTTTTAACAATAAGCAGGATAAGTTGAATTTGATTTAATTTTGATTGAGTTTGATTAGGAGCAGAATTTTGCCGCTAATTGATGAAATTTGATCAAATAAACCATTGCTAATGAAAATTTATTATTATTTTAATTGATTTGTGCAAGAATTAAGTTCAATTATGCATTAATTAAATAGTAATTAATGCACTTATTACTATTAAATTAACACATAATTGAAATCAATTCTAGCACAAATCAAGTAAAATAATGATACATTTTCATTAGCAATGGTTTATTTGATCAAATTTCATCAATTAGCAGCAAAATTCTGCTTCTAATCAAACTCAATCAAAATCAAATCAAATTTGATTTAAATCCCATTTTATGATTCCGCCAGGGGAGGCACGCACGAGTGAGTCGATTCAATCGTGCCTCGATATGTGCCTCGTAACAGGGGTTCTACAGGTGGTTCCAGAATAGGTGCAAAAGCCAAGTACGTGGCAATCTCATGAGTGCGAAGGGGATAGGTAGTCTATCTGTCTCTCTTGCACTCATGGGACTTGCACTTGTACTTGGCTTTTGCACATATTGTAGAACCTCCATAAATGGAAGCGAAATCGCAGAGTCGTTGCGATCGTCGCAATCCCACTGCGCCATCTACCTAATGCTTTCCTATGTTCCTATGTAGTTTAGCATAGGTGACGTCATACGTATACGTTTACGAATGCTCTTATGGTGCTTTTATACCTCAAATTTCGATCAGATGAACGTTATTTCTGGACTGTGAAAATGCGTGAAAAGTCATTTTCACGGCGGGAATTTTTGAATTGTTTTATACGAAAAATGTTTTTTTAAGAAATATTATATTAAATAATTGTTTTAATATGTAAGAACACTTTTAAATAGTGAAAATTTGATTGAAAAATTTCGCAAATTTTGCTTTAAAACGTTTTCTGCTACAAGAAAATGTAAAATGACGATGTTTGTGAAATGGTTTGTACAGTGCTTCTTCCTTGTGAGTGTCTCTCAGAGTTTTGTTTATGTTATGTCGGTTCTTTTTAACTTGTAATAAATAATGAGTACTGAAAATAAATCGGTAAGTTGAAATGTTTATTAAGTAATTTTACTAATTACTTATGAAAATAAAAGTAATTATAAAACTTGATATTTAAAAACACAAAAAGTATGTGTATGAATTTGAGGTTATAAATCAATTTTCCACGCATCTCTCAAATACTTTCTGTATATTAAGTTTCTTTCAGTTATTCGAAACAATTATTTGAATTTAAATTTATTTGATAAACATTTCAACTTACCGATTTATTTTCAGCACTCATTATTTATTACAAGTTAAAAAGAACCGACATAACATATACAAAACTCTGAGAGACACTCACAAGGAAGAAGGCACTGTACAAACCATTTCACAAACGTAGTCATTTTATACTTTCTTGTAGCAGGAAAGGTTTTAAAGCAAAATTTGCTAAATTTTTCAATCAAATCATCTTTCTATCACTATTTTAAAGTGTTCTTACATATTAAAACAATTATTTAATATTATATTTCTGAAAAAATAATATTTTTTGTTTAAAACAATTCAAAAATACCCGACGTGAAAATGCCTTTTCACAGTCCAGAAATAATGTTCATCTGATCGAAATTTGAGGTATAAAAGCACCTTAAGAACATTGAAACATTCATGTTCTGTATGCTAAATATGAAACGAGCATAAATTGGTTTCGCTTCGTTACAAGGTGGGGTGGCGCGTAGAAGCTTCCGTACAAATAAGCATCGTTAAGGCCTTTCTCCAATAGGATCCTAAACTCTTGCGTTGCGTATGCATTGCGTCGGTTGCTATTGGCAACCAATGCTAAAATCAACGCGTCAGTCACGCAACGCAAAAGTTTAGGTTCCTATTGGAGAAAGGCCTTCAAAGCTTCCGTTAGATACGGATACGGAGCATACGGAAGCCTGTACGGCTCACGAGCGTCTCAGACGCAAGTGGCGGTGTTTCGTACCACAAGTGGCACGAAGTCCGTCCAACTTGTGGCAAGTTCGTTAGTTCGTGCCACTTGTGGAAAGTGGATTTTTTGAAGGGTCATTCACAAATATGACAATTCCGTTGGATCCTGTTGCTGTCTATTTCGTCAGTGCTTTTCATTTCAATTTCATGTGAAGAAGAAATGAATTTTATAAGATATTAGTAATATTAGCATATTAGTAAATGTCATCGAACAAACATTTTATAGTTGACACATAAATACTCCTTCCAAACGTAAATATACATATTAATAAACTAAGGATTCCACTAAGAATTAAGCGGAAGTTTTTTCTTAGTTTTTTTAATTTTTCTTAGTTTAGAATAAAAATAAGATTTTTTGGTTATGTTGTCATTTTTTAATTTAAAATACATGAAGAGGATTTTATTTTTTAAAATCAAAAGTATATTTTTATGAATATTTAAGATTAATAAAGATGTCAATATCATTTGTTTGCACTGAAATGTAATCTTTTACATGTATTTTCAATTAAAAAATAACAAATTCATTTTTATTCAAAAACATTAAACGGACTTGCCCGGATGAAATTAAGCTGCTTTTATACCTCAAATTTCGATCAGATGAAAATTATTTCTGGACCGTGAAAATGCGTGAAAAGTCATTTTTACGGCGGGTATTTTTGAATTGTTTTAAACAAAAAATGTTTTTTTTTTAAGAAATATAATATTAAATAATTGTTTTAATATGTAAGAACACTTTAAAATGGTGATAGAAAGATGATTTGATTGAAAAATTTAGCTAGTTTTGCTTTAAAACGTTTTCTGCTACAAGAAAGTGTAAAATGACGATGTTTGTGAAATGGTTTGTACAGTGCTTCTTCCTTGTGAGTGTCTCTCAAAGTTTTGTTTGCTCACAAGAAAGAAGCACTGTACAAACCATTTCACAAACATCGTCATTTTACACTTACTTGTAGCAGAAAACGTTTTAAAGCAAAATTAGCTAAATTTTTCAATCAAATCATCTTTCTATCACTATTTTAAAGTGTTCTTACATATTAAAACAATTATTTAATATTATATTTCTTAAGAAAACATTTTTTGTATAAAACAATTCAAAAATACCCGCCGTGAAAATGACTTTTCACGCATTTTCACGGTCCAGAAATAATGTTCATCTGATCGAAATTTGAGGTATAAAAGCACCTTTATACTTGAAATGAAAAGCACTGACGAAATAGACGGCAACAGGATCCAACGGAATTGTCATATTTGTGAATGACCCTTCAAAAAATCCACTTTACACAAGTGGCACGAACTAACGAACTTGCCACAAGTTGGACGGACTTCGTGCCACTTGTGGTACGAAACAGCGCCACTTGTTTCTGAAGTCGGTTCTACAATGGGCACGTTTGTACGTGAACGTATACGTTCCGTGCTAACGTCACCCATTTGCAGAACATTGTGACGTCAGCACGTACTCGTTCACGTTCGCTTACAAACGTGCCCATTGGAGAACCGACTTGAAGGCCTTTCTCCAATAGGATCTTAAACTCTTGCGTTGCGTATGCATTGCGTCGGTTGCTATTGGCAACCAATGCTAAAATCAACGCGTCAGTCACGCAACGCAAAAGTTTAGGTTCCTATTGGAGAAAGGCCTTGAGACGCTCGTGAGCCGTACAGGCTTCCGTAGGAGCACGCTACGAAGCACGCACGAGTGGTGGAGCATTTACACCTTTGGTAAAAAAAATTTTTTATTTTGATTTTCGGAAATGCAAAGATCTGATTGGTTGTCCATTATCAATCAGATTGTGAACAACCAATCAGGTTTGTGTATTTCGGAAAATTCAAAAATAAAAAATTTTTTTACCAAAGGTGTAAATGCTCCGTGAGTCGATTCAATCGTGCCTCGTAACGCGAGTGAATGCTTAAGGTGCTTTTATACCTCCAGTATTTTGGTCAAGCAATCGACTTGACTGAATTTTCACGAAGAATCACTGAATTTGATTGGCTCTAACAATATTTAATTTTCACGGTGAAAATGGAATATTTGGCTGCAGTCCCATGGCAGCGTTTTGCGTTGCGTTTTGTCACTAGACCCTGAGTGTAAACATAGCAAACATATATCTGCATCTCTTTTACACTCATGGTCTAGTGACAAAACGCAACGCAAAACGCTGCCATGGGACTGCAGCCTTAGTTATAGCCAATCAAATTCAGTGATACAACCGTGAAAATTCAATCCAGCCTATTGCTCTACCAAAATATTGGAGGTATAAAAGCACCTTTAGTGGTGGTGCATAGAAGCTTCCGTACATAGGCGCATCCGTTGAGCATGCCTTCATGCTTTATACTTTGACCTTTAAGTAGTGGGAAGCTTGTGATTCAGCATTAGCAGGCGGGGCAGAACATTCTACCATAATTGCATATGTTTGTTTAATTTTGTGGCTCTAGTCGCTTTCTCGCGGCGTATTATCCACTATCAGTCACGGTGACTATACTCATGCAACGTATAATCACTGCTTTAATAACGGTAAATAACGAAAGAAAAATTCATTGATTGTTTTTTTATAATAATTGAACTGATATCGACCGGTGCGATTTCAAAGCACAATGTTTATTGAATGTTTGATTTTTGCTAAACTATTTTATTTATAGTTAATACATAATAAGATAGCCGATTTACCATTAGTTCAGTATTTTAATTATAGATGGAATATATTTAATAGAAAATGACAACTTGGTTGAATGTTCATATTCGAGTTTATTTATACTTTAATGTGCAGGTTTCGGTACACACGTTCTTGTACATAAACATGTGATTGAAATGTGACACATTTTTCGTTTCAAAAAGGTACAAAAAGAACATATATGGTTAAAACTCTAGAACTCTTAAACTTTATATTATTATGATGTCTCAAAAATTGTGGAATAATTTTCTAGATAATAGGGTAGTTACATCAGAGATGGATCAATTAAACTAAAAAACAAGTAGGTAAATTTGTAAGTACCACTTTAAACAAATAACTTCTTTCGTATGTCAGAATTTAGGGCTAATTTATTACAATTGAGAGTGCATATTCCTTGAAAAAAAGCACAGTACTGCCTCTTTTAGTCATTCCTATTTGATTTCCTCTAAATTTTCTCGCACATTATCTTCTGTCAATTCCTTATAAATTTCCTATGAAATATCCTGTATAAAAGCATATCAAAATTCATAATAATAACTTTAATTAAAATATTCCTATGTCAAATCCCATATTGTACCCCAGGTGAAATCTTATTTTGTTTATGCATAAAAAATTCCTTGGAAAAATCCCATGTCGAATTTCATAAAAACCCGTTTATACATATGATTTCACATGGATTTATATAAAGAAAAAATAGGATTTTATATGGGAATTTTCAGTTGGATGCTTTATGCAGAAAGCAGTTTTCAAAAATTAAAAATTATTTAATTAAAAATCAAATAATATTACTAAAAGTTCATCTGAAAATAAAAAAATTTGTGTTTTGCAATATACCTTCTGCATGAGAGTCTCAGCTTTTAAGGAGCTTCTACAATTGGTCCAAGAGTCAAGTTCAAGTCCAAGTTTATTCCTATAGATCAACCTATAAAGAAAAAACTTGAAGTTGGACTTGCTTTTTGGAAGTTCGTTTAAAATTATATTTATTATTCTCAAAAATTTTACAGACCCTGCTAAAAATAAAATCAGAAATCAGTCTCAAAACGTCAGAAATTCTGACGTTTTTTTTCCTTTACGATGCTGCTGACTAATACTGACTTAAATGGTTTTAATGGGCCTGACGTTTTATGAAAAGTAACCATTTCTCACTACATTTTATTTTTTTGTAAAAAGGGTTCTAAAGAAAGCCATTAAATTTGTAAAAAAAAGTTTTCTATATTTTTAATATTATTGATATGAAAATGAGATATTTGGAACATTCAATTTTTCAGGGTTCTGGACATTCAAAAAATTCTATAAATAGTTAAAAATTAAAAAATTGAATAGTTAATTTCTATAAAAAATTTAAATATTTGAAATCCATTTTTTTTATTTCTTTCAAACCGCTTATTTACTTTTACCCACTACAATTTACCTTTTTTATATATTCGCTTCTTTCAATAGAATGGTCCTTTCAAAGGTACTTCAGGTTTTCTGACTTTCTAACGCAAAATAAAAAATTATTTAAATTGAAAAAAAAATATATATATATATATATAGGTTCAGTTGGGGTAAATTTGGACAGGGGTAAATGGGGACAAGAGGTTTTGGAGCTTAATTTACAGTTTTAAAATTAAGTTCAACGTCAATATTTTAACCTCAGATCACCTGCAAGAGGTTTTGAGTATTGACAAGCTTTTATCTTGACAATTGGCAGCAAGAGAAAAAAAGGTATCGCTCAATGCATAAAAACTTGAAAAGCAAAGTCAAACTGTTTCAGTATTTTGTCGAGCATTTCAAAAAATACAGACTTAAAAATCATACCAAATTTTTTTTATTCCTTATGACTCCTATAACAGAAATTCACTTCAATTTTTGATTTTTATCAATTTGGCTAATAACAACTTTAAAAAAATAAACCAGCAAATATTACCTTTTAAAGGAAGAAACTTACGTAATTTGTGAAAAATAGTGATTTTGTCCCCATTTACCCCAACTGACTCTATTTGTAATTTTTAAATTTTAACGATTCCAATGATATAAAACTTGATGTTAAATAATTAAAGTTACATAATGATTATACAACATTCTACTTCATTAATTAACATTAATTTTCAATAATTTAAAAATATATTTACAAAAAATTATATATCGTTGTAATTGTATTAACATGTACATTACAAATATAATATTTAAATAATTATTTTTTTCAAATGCAACAATTTTTAATTTTGCCATAAAATAAAAGCAATAAAACCATAAAAAATCCTTCTGGCCTATACTTTTCTTTTTGTCCTTTTCTAGCGTACGTATTATATGGGTGATTCTCCACGTAGCGCACAACTTGCATTTTTTCATGTTGTGAAAGAAAAATCACAAATAATGTTCACATAATATTTCGATTCCAATGTAAAAAGGTAATTTCTGTGATTACAAACAAAAACCAATAGTTACTTTTGTAACATTATAATTTTTCGTGAAAAGTGGTTTTTAAGGCTAAAAACGTCAAAATTTGACCTGTCCCCACAAGATGTTTATACAAAAAAGTTAATATTTTTAGCAATGTGCACTAATAAATACAATTTCTGTTCCTATTTTAGTATTGTATATTGTAGTGGAATTGAATAAAAAAAATAATTATTTTCTTTTTTTTTGCTATTTATACTTGACTGAAATTTTGTGTGTTATTCTGTGTTTTATTATTAAACATTGAATTATTTAAATAAAAGTCAAATGTTAATATAGTTCTACTTCAGTAACAGCAAAAGTTATATTCCTTAAGTTGATCCATGAAGAAAGTAATCAATTTTCAAATTGATTTATCCTTTTTTACACATTTCAAAATTCAAATTTGTACAGCCCAGGCGCGAAGGGACGCTGGGTTCAGGCCTTTTAAAGACTCGTTGAGCATTGGCCAATATTGACTAAGCCTTGGTCAGTCATCGGGAATAAGACTCATCCGAGCTAGAATGTAACACCGATTCCGACCTGAAGCTCCACCCTTGATTCAGCATTGGTGACCAAGACTCAATCAATCTTGCCGAATGCTGATTCAGGCTCGCTCAAGACTGCTCCCACTGTTACTTACTATTCTCGCGTTCAATAATTCTTAATAATAATAGTAATAATAATAATCCTATTAATATTTTGTATTATTTTTTTTTATACTCCTGCCCTATTGGCATATTACGCACTCGACAAGAGTCCCCGAGAAATACTTTTTATGGATGAAGCATAACCATTCTACAAATTTTTGCAAATTTTTAACCTAATGCGCCTACAGTGCGACTTTCGAAGATAAGAGTACTCGCATTTGCCTGAACCACCCGTCATTGGGTTTTCTCGCCAGAGAAGAGGGAAACTGTAGAAAAACCTCTTCTGAGTACAACCGGTTTATCGACTGTCTAGTTTCGGCGGTATACATCGGACAATTAATCGACAATGCATACCGTCGCACCTAGACGTCAAACCTCCCGCTCAGAATAGCTCACGTGTCGGAAAAATCCCCGGCTGATGGGGGGCACGAACCTCGTTCGCTCAACCCGCAAGGCCTGGAGCACCAACCAACTGAGCTATTCCGTCGGTAATATTTTGTATTATTATATTTATAGATAATATTAAAACAACATTAGTATTCATTAAAAATATGATTTTAATTTATTAATAATAAGGAGATAAGTTGTATTGGAATCTTATAAGAGTCAATAGAACTTATTTCCTTTAATTATTATTAGTTATTTTCATAAAATGTACTATTATTTAATTAATTTAATCCGAAGTTTTTTACTATTTTTGTTTCATCACTTAAGATTAATTAACAACACCTGTCGAAATAAAACCTAATCTAATTTGAAAAATCTCGCTCGCATTGGGCACCGAACCCACGACCTAACGCTCGCGCTTGCAAACCTACTACGCTAACCACGGGGCCACACTGGCTACTTGGCGACATTCTGTTAATACCAGTGATTTTCTTGGCGCGCCTTTATGCTAAATTTAAAATCTTCTTATCGTTAAATTACTTATATATTTTTAATATTAATATAAAACTATTTTAATTTATATATTGCTGTTAATTTAAATAAATTATATTAAAATTTTTTTTTATTAATGCACGGAGAGAAATCTGCTGCGATTTGCGCATGAGCAAGTCCATAGGAATATAGCATGGACACTTCCAAGCAAAAACTATAAGATTCCATCTGAATATCAGGTGAGACTCATACAATAATACCTCGCTCACTTAGGATTTTTGCTTGAAAGCGTCTGTTACTATATTCCTAAGTACATGCTCATGCGTAAATCGCACCAGATTTCTCTCCGTGTGGAATAAAAAAACTTTGTAATGAATGTATAAGGGACGCTCCACGTCAAACGGAACAGAGCTCTAGCCAAAAATTGGCTTCCCTACCGGAAGGGTGGTACTGGATTGGTACTGGGAAATTGGAACTGAGATCTCAGTACCAACTCAGTACTAATTTGGTGCATTTTGGTACTGAAATGGAACTGGGAAATTTACCTGCGAAAAGGGTCGAGTTACCGTTAATACCCTCATAAAAGTGAAAAGCGACTAGCTTTTTCAATATGTTTAAACTAAAACTTTATATTTATTTCAATATTATATTTGTTTTTCATGGATTTATATTATTTTCATACATTATTATGCATATGATATTTCCTTTGTCAGCTAAATTCAAAAATGATGTCCATTTTTTTATCAAACTTAAGGTATACGAGATAAATTATAACTTTTTTAAATGTAATTATTTTATGATAAATTTTAGATATTCATAATCTGGAAATATTAACGAATCTGAATATATATTTTTTAAAGTTGAGTTATTAAAATTACAAATTTTTTAAGCAATAAAACTCGGGTTAAAATTTTAATCCTTCAACAAAGGACCTAGGGATCTATTGTTCAAGGAGGGATTGCAATATAATTTCCAAACTTAACAGAAATTTTCTACAAACTATTATGTTTTTTTGCTGTTTTACACGTATATCATGAGAGACGGTTTGTTGATCTTATATACCTTTAAAACTATTGTTAAAGTACTTTAAAAATGTCTTCTTATGGGTTATCAGGTAGTGGTACTGAAGTGGAACTCAAGCCAAGTCCGATTCAGTACCATTCCAGTACCACTCTTTCGGTAGGGTTGATAAAAAAAATTGTTTAAGGGCTGAAAAAACTTGTACACTCTTGTACTTTCGAAAGCAGTTGGGCGATTTTAGAAATTCAATATGGCGGCGCCTGTAGATGTGATATAAGTCATCAATGTCACGATTCGACAAATACAAACATGAATAAAATTTCCAAAATTA